AGTTACAGGCTTGATAAATGAAGGAAACACTGTGAATGTAGCATATCTTGATTTCAGTAAAACCTTTGACAGAGTTCTCCATGATATTCTTTGGATGTAGCTAACAAAATGTGGGCTAAACAGAGCTACTGTTCAGTGGATTTGTAATTGGTTGACTGACTGAACTCAAAGAGTGCTCACCAATGGCTTCCCTTCATCCTGCAGAGAGGTAACTAGTGGGGCGCCTCAGGGTTCTGTTCTGGGCCCTGTGCTATTCAACATCTTTATCAATGACTTGGATGAAGGAACAGAGAGTATGCTGATTAAATCTGCAAAGGATACCAAATTTGGAGGGGTTCCTAATTCCCCAGAGGACAGGATGGCCATCTGTCACGAGTGCTTTGATGGTGTTCCTGCATAGCAGGGGGTTAGACTCAATGGCCTCTGTGGTCTCTTCCAACTCTGTAATTCTATGATTTTCTGAAGAAATACAACTGCAGTGAGGCTTCAAATATGCATTTTTTCTACATAATTCTGTGTGCTTCTCTCTGCAGCTTTATCTTCCAAAACTCTTAGGACTCTTAAAAGAAAGCAGGTGGGGTCCTGCTACTTGATAGAAAAGTGAGGAGAATAAGAAGTGATCTGACTGAGCATCAGGTTAGAGGGAAAGAAAGGCCAGAGAAGAGGAAAAATGTGGAGGGTTGAGGATTGGAGAGGAGAATTTAAATGTTTTCTGAGTTTTGCGGAGCTAGGTACTTTTGCTATTCTTATAAAGGGTGAAGTTAAAGTTACTCTTGTATGGGAGGAGATGAGAACAATTAGTGTTACCTTTGTCTAAGCAAGGAATTATGGGGTTACTAAGCAATGTGTTACATACAGCCTGCTGCAGCAGAAATGAGAAAAGTGTGGTTAATTCTTCTGGGTCATTTGGCTGGTGAAAGGTTTAGGGAGATGGGTTTGCAATGGTCTCAGTACTCCTTGACTGAATCTTTCCATAAGACAGTGTTGGGGGACTGCTGTTTCAATGCCCTGCTGTTAGTTTACAGGGTCCCTCAGGCCTTTCCTCCATGCTTTTTAACATTGACTGGAAGCCACTAGGAGAGGTCATCCAGAGTTTGAGGATTGGGTCTTAACACGATGCTGATAATAAGCAGCTCTTTCTACTTTTCTCCACTGATGCCAAAGAAGCTGTGGAAATCCTGAATCACTGTTTAGGTATAGAAGAGCATTGGATGTGAGGAAACAAATTGAGGAGAAATGGAGAGAAGACAGAATTCTATTGGCCAATAAAAAGGCCAGTTTGTGTTTGGAAGTACAGTCTGAATGGAGCTGCAATCTGTGTGAAATACCATATCTGGCGTTTGAGTGTCTTCCTGGAGTGCCAGGTGCCTGCTGTAACCAGAAGTACCTTTGTTCCATTTTGGCTCGTACACCACCTGTGCTCCTTCATAGGAAAGGTGATTCTAGCCAGTGATCTATACAGTGGACCCTCAACTTGCGGATGGCTCCACTCGCATACTTTTCGAGTTACGGACTTCTCTGGCCGCAATATTTCACTTCAACTTGCGGTCGGAGAATCGACCTAAGGAACGGAAAGGGGAGGCGGGGAAAGCGCCAGAGGCACAATCGGCAGCGAGGGGGACCTCTGGAGGCCCTCCAGGACTTCTCTGCTGCCATGAGAGGCATATTGGAGGCCCCCCCCCCCGCAGCCGATTGTGCCTCCAAGCATGATTGGCGGGGAGGACCTCTGAGATGCCTCCCATGGCGGCGGAGAAGCCCTGGAAGGCTTCCGGAGGTTGCCCACCACCGCTGCTGGGAGCCACGCTGCACCGAGCGATCCCCGCCATGCTTGGACACTTGGAATTCCCCTGCCGCCGCCGCTGGGAGCCGCGCCGCGCCAGGCAATCCCGGCCATGCTCAGACTCCTGGACTTCCCCCGCTGCCACCGCTGTCTGAGCGCGGTGTGGCTCAGCTCCCAGCAGCGGCGGCGGGGGAAGTCCAGGAGACTGAGCATGGCCGGGATCGCCCGGTGCGGCTCAGCTTCCAGCAGTGGCAGCAGCGGAAGTCCAGGAGCCCGAGCTTAGCCAGGAGTCCAGGAGTCTGAGCAAGATGCTGCTTTTTGCATTTATTTTCTTTATTTTCTTTTTTTGGGTGGGGGTATTTTTTCTTCGGCAGTTACAGATTAATGGGTTTTCAATGCATTCCTATGGGAAATGGACCCTCAACCTAGGGACTTTTCAACCTGCGGTGACTGTTCCAATACGGATTAATTCTGTAAGTCCACTGTCCCTTAAATTACCTTATGATTAGACCACCATGTCCCTGTCCCTATAGCAAAGAGCAAAATGATAACCAAGCCAGGCATCAAAGGATGACAGAGACCACTGTGATGCACTGGATGTGAGGCTGCCCTTGAAAAAACATTAGGTTGCTACAGTACATAAATGGGGGGGGGCATACATTTGGTACTGTTAATGTTATGTCCTTGCCGATGTAGCAGTAGATGTATGCCTTTTACCAGGAGTTATCTTTAAATTATACATATACATAGAGACTAGCATCCCTACACTGTTAGCTACAGTGCCAATGCAGAAAAGTGGTAAGCATGTACAATGTGGCATGCAGCCAACATTTCCTCTAATTTTGTTGCCTCTAATTTTCAGTCCCGCTGGGCAGGGCTCTGCCCCTCGTGCATGCTCATGTGCGATTCCCCTCCCTGCGCAGGGTTCTGTCACAACTGGAACTAAAGTGGCTGAAAAATTATCACTGTCAGAGTGCCAAAGAGGAGGTTGCGCAGAGGTGGGTAGAGTTGAGCGTGTACACACAGGCACATTTCTTAGAGGGAACCTTGCATGCAGCAATGTATCCAGTGCTTAAGATGCTAATGTTTAAGATACTGTAAAATGCCTAAGTTACTAATGGACATGGGCAAAATAGTCAAGATTACTTAGGGAAGACTTCAATGAATGGAAGCTGGCAGAAACCAGCCTTATGCGCCCAAATGATCAAGATTTCTACTCGGATTTTCTGGAATGAAAGAGAAGTTGGGAGAATAGAAATGGGGGTATTTGTATACAAATATGAATACACATGCACAGCTAGAGTTATTGAGGACTGGCCCCTGGGACTGGACCAGCCACTCCTGCATCTGCCGCCGGCCCCACTCTTCCTTCCAATTGCTCACCAGCCTTATGCGCCCAAATGATCAAGATTTCTACTCGGATTTTCTGGAATGAAAGAGAAGTTGGGAGAATAGAAATGGGGGTATTTGTATACAAATATGAATACACATGCACAGCTAGAGTTATTGAGGACTGGCCCCTGGGACTGGACCAGCCACTCCTGCATCTGCCGCCGGCCCCACTCTTCCTTCCAATTGCTCTGGAGTGCCCGTACACATGCACAGCTGGAGTTATTGAGGACTGGCCCCTGGGACTAGACCAGCCACTCCTGCACCTGCAGCCGGCCCCACTCTTCCTTCCAATTGCTCTGGAGTGCCCAGTTGACTATCTACTCATCAGTCTTGCAGGGAGACTCATCTTCCCTCCTTCTGCCAGAGCGACTGGGTGCTCCAGAGCGACTGGAAGGAAGAGTGGGGTCAGTGGCAGCAGCGAACGCGTGAGTAGACAGTCCGGCCCCAGGGGGCTGGATCCTTTTGGGGTCAGTGGCAGCAGCGAATGCGTGAGTAGACAGTCCAGCCCCAGGGGGCTGGATCCTTGTTAACTCCAGCTATGTGGAGGTATTCATATACAAATACCCTAACTGTATTGGAGAAGTAAAAGATGTACTGTACCAGGGTACACCAGTCCTAACAGGTGTTATGCTTTGATGTCCAACTCTGCCATCCTTTGATGCCTGGCTTGGTTATCATTTTGCTCTTTCCTATAGGGACATGGTGGCGCTGTTATAGGGCTAGGGACAGCTGTAGATGCTTTGTTATAAGGACATGGTGGCGCTGTGGGTTAAACCTGCTGTTATAGGGATAGGGACAGCTGCAGATGCTTTATTATAGGGACATGGTGGCGCTGTGCGTTAAACCGCAAAGCCTTTGGGCTGCAAGGTCAAAAGATCAGCAGTTTAAATCCACACGGCGGAGTGAGCTCCCATTGCTTGTCCCAGCTCCCGCCAACCTAGTAGTTTGAAAGCATGTAAAAATTCGAGTAGATAGATAACACCACAATGGGAAGGTAATGGTGTTCCATGTCTAGTCGTGCTGGCCACGTGACTACAGAAACTGTCTTCGGACAAATGCTGGCTCTATGGGTTGGAAACGGGGATGAGCACTGCCCCCTAGAGTCAGACACAACTAGACATTTGTCAAGGGGAACCTTTACCTTTACCTTAAGATGCTTTGTTATCATTTTGTCAATTAATGAATTACTGTATAGGCATTCAAGAAGTTGACTAGCAGGGTTCATGAACAAATGCACTGCCCCAAACAATGTCTAAGGACTAGGGATTTTGGCCACTATTGACCAGACCCTGAAGAGACAATGCACATCAGGGCCCCCTGCAGCTGTTCTTCAAGGGCTTTCAGCGTGTAGGAGTTTGAGGATTCCCTCTACCATATTTATTTATTTATTTAACTATGGATGCTTTTTGCTTTTGTTGTACTGTTGAGTCCTTTCTTCCATGGATGTGTTCATTGTCATCAAATTACAAAAGAATGCACAAGACACTTGCACAGAATGTGTTGGCCACCTTAAACCTGGCTATTTAGGCAGGCCTTCCCTCCAGGCACCACTTAAATCTGTATTTTTTTAATCCTTCCATTTTGAATGATTATCTATTGTTATAATGTTACATTTTAATGTTTTTACTCTAGTTGTTGTGAGCCGCCCAAAGTAGACATTGTCTAGTGGGCGGCATATAAGTTTAATAAACAAACACATCAATACATTTCCGACCTAGTAGGCGAGGAAATTGTTCAGAGTTTAGGAAGTCTTCTGAATCTCCAACATGTACTTATTCAAAGTCCTTAAGCAGCATAATTTGCACGAAAATTTGGGAGGGGGAGAAGGCATAATTTTGTTGCTGTTACTGTTATATCCATGCCAGAGAGAGAGAAGCCTCCCTCCATTGCTGCGGCCCGGGAGGTAAGGAGGGGAACGCAGACGCTCCGGAAAGCGGCGGGCAAGCGGGCATCTCCGCCGAACGAAAGTCGCGGAACCTACGCGCGCACCACACAGCCTTCTCTGCTCACAACAAACAGAAGGAAAGCGAAGGGAAAACATAAATTTCGCTCTCATTCAGGTTCCGCCCCGGAAGTTGTCTCGCACTCGAAACGAGGGCCCTGGGAAAGAGGAAGCCAGCTGCAGCTTTTGTACTGGTGTTAAGATGGCGGCGGCGCAAACCCAGAGCGGGATTTTACTCAGTGCGGTGAGTCCGGGAGTGAGGTTAGGTCGGTGCACGCTCGGTAGCAAGAAAAGCCAGGGCCTGCGGGCGGGGGTGTTGTGTGTATGCGTGCCTCTCCTCTCGCAGTCCTCGTCTGTGGAGTGGAGATAATTTGCTTTGCTCGGTTAAACTCCCGGGTCCCGTTCCTCAGGGCTGGAAATCCGTGCTCGCTGTGAAGTTCAAAGGCCCTGTTTCCCCTGCTTCCCTTCCTTGGAGGTGCGGGTGCCTTCCTTCCTTCCTTCTCTTTTCATTCGATGGATTTGCAGGAAATCCTTGGCTTCTCATCCAGAGCCGTTTCGCTCCGACGCCTGCTCTGCCCTGAGAGTCTGTCTGTCTCTTTAAGGATTGTGTAAAAAAAAAAAAAGAGTAATTACACCATGGCTGGGGTTATCCTTTGACTGGAGGGTGATGCACGGAAAAGATGCACCTCGTGGAAAGCCCTCCTCAGGTCTTGAAAGAAGGGCGGGGTAGGTGGGGAAAATAACGAGGTTTCGCGGGATCTGGCTTGGAAGGGAACTGTTGCTGCTTCAAAATGGTTTATGTTTCCCTTTCGGTCGGATCTGTGCACTTGCTTTCGAGTGCTCTGATGTAATATGAGTCTTTGTTATGAGCGAGGTGTGAATGCAAATCTGGCAGATAGCGGGTATTCGAAAACAAGTTCAATTTCTAGCTTTCGTTTTCCATTTGGAGGAGGAGTCACCGGATGCGTATTTCTAATAGCAGAGGTTTTGCTTACTAAATGCCGACAGTACACGCAGTGGCAGTAATGTGAACATGTGCCGCTGTCGTTTTATTTTCATTTATTTAGTTCTGGTGATGGGGCTGTCAGGAACAACGAATGATTCTCCAAAGGCTCCCGCAAAAAGCCTTGCCCCGCCCTACTGCCTGGGAGGCTTGTTTTATGTGGAAAACCAGGGAATACTGTAGAAAGATTTTCAAAATGTGTGCTGTGCAGCTTTTTCGCATGCTGTGTCGAGGTGGTAAAAAGGGCTGTGTAAAACGATAAAACTGTAGACGAAAACGAATGAGCAAGCTAGCCGTAAAAGCAACGGGGGTAGTAAAAAGTGTAGGAACACCACAATAGCAGGATTTAAATCAGGTTGGTTTTTATAGCTTGGGGAAATAAAAAATAGTAATCTGAGGTGGATCTAACATCAAAGTAGACAGCATCTAGCCAAGGATAATATTGCAGAGAGGGTGCATCCCAACTGAAAACCTTTCCATATCTTAGCAAACACAGGCAGCCAGAGAAGAAGAGATGACCTTAGTATGTATTTGCCTGCTCTTAATATTTCAGTGGTCCAATAAAGATAGTACCCTAGGGTGTTTTTGGGCTTAATATATGGGCTGACTTGTGGATGGAGGCTCTCCTTACTGTTCTGGATGTAAGGAATAGGTACCATCAATTGAAATTGAGCTTGGAAGCAGATTCACAGTCAGTGATGCTGTTTAAGGAACAGGAAGATGGGTTCTTGTCGGCAGGCTGCACAAAGTCTAAGATCTCTGCTAGACACTCTCAACTGCTCAAGTGGTAACAGGGGTTCCGATTAAAGTTACAGTATTGTGTGGTACCTATATCCTTTTGCAGCTGTTCTGCCGGCCATTCTGGAAACCATAGGGTGAAAAGACTTGAAAGAGAAAAGTGTCATTGTTTAGATTCTAGATTTTTTTATTAGATCCCTCACTCAGCTTATTAAACTTTACTGAAACATGAGTAAAAACATCATTACCCTGTTCAGATTTACTCTGTGTATGTCTGTAAAGGATGATTGCTGTATATGAGATTTGAGTAACTGGGTCACCCAGTTAGGGTGCTGGATAGCTCTTCTCCAGGTCATAGGTATGTGCATCCCCCCTTCCATTTTGCATAAATAATACCATAGATCCAGGAATGGAATGGATCAAAATGTTTCCTAAAGGGTACAGTGTGGGTCAGACCCCAGTCTGTATGTCATTTATTAGGTACAGAGTGGTGTGCAGGTTTCATTATACCACTGTTTGGGGCCCAGTTGTAATTTCCCCACAGTGGATCTGAAATCTGCAGTGGAAGGTTCAATGAAGCCGTTGAACTAAATGCTATAGGTAGCTGGTCCAGAAGGATAGAGTAAAGCCACTGAAAGCTCCAAGAACTAAGAAGTCATGCAGTCCCTGCTATGTCCTTCTCCCCGCAAAAATCATTCAGGAGGGGCCAATTTCTATGCTGAAGTCAGGCCTAAAATCAGACAAACATAGATCAGTTTTAGAAGAAGTAACTGTGTTAGTCTGTGCAAGCATATGAGCGAAAACAAAAGCAAAATAGAAAAAAGACGTATAAAATTATGCAGAGGGTGGATAAAGTGGATAGAATTAAGCTCTTTCCCCTCTCATGCAATACCAGAACAAGGGGACATCCACTCAAATTGAGTGTTTGGAGAGTTAGAACAGACAAAAGAAAATATTTCTTTATCCAGCGTGTTGTTAGTCTGTGGAACTCCTTTGCCACAGGATGTCATGATGGTATCTGGCCTAGATGCCCTTAAAAGGGGATTGAACAGATTTCTGGAGGAAAAGTCAGTCACAGGTTACAAGCCATGAGGGGGAATGTATAATCAGTCTCCAGTTTTAAAAGGAAAATCTGTCCACTCACCATTTCACCGCAGATGTGGTGTTGCAGAGTGGCTCATCCATTGTGGACAGCGGCACAATAGGAAGGCTCTGTTGAGCTCAAATCAGTGGTGAAATGGTGAGTGGACAGTCCGACCCCATAGGGGGGATATTTATATTCGTATATGAATACCCCCATCTCTACTTGTTAGTCTTTAAGGTGCCACAACATTTTTTTTAAAAAAATTGCCTGATATGAAATGGATGGATCATAGAAGTTTTTTTTTTTAGCTGCATCTGTACATTTATATCTTTTTAACACTGGTCAAATCATTTTCTCTCCCAAAATTGTGTTCTTTATTAAGATAACCCTTAATAAACACTGTTAGGACCATCAGTATGCTGGAACCCATAGAATTTCATTAAAGTTGCACAGATGTATACACAGTGCCTGCATAAATATAGAACTGTAATCTATCCATCTAAAGTAGTAGAGTGCAGTCCATGAAAGCAGATAAAACATGTTAGTTTTTAAGATGCTATAAGACTTTTTTTGTTGGGGTAAATTATAGTGAGATAGTGTTCTGAACAGACAGCAGACCAAACTACAGAATTAGTGGTGTTGATGTTATGATGAATGCAAGTGTTGGGAAATGTGTAAATAATATTCAGCATAACACCCTTCCCTTTATAAATTTCCTCTCCTTTCCCCCATTTTTTTAAACTATTGAAAGATTATGTGGATATAGCAATATGAGTTTTTTGTATAATATAGTACCTTCACAATGTTGCAGTCTGTATCAGATTAGAATATCACATTAAAAATTGACACGGAAGGCTAGTGGAAAATAAATCTTGTTATTTTCATTAACATAATAAATTAAAGGAAATCAAAGTGCTAAAAAGTCTTGTAAGTTGTTTATGAACTAACTGTTCATTATTGCTTGAAAAAGCAATAAGGACATAAGAGACCAGTGACCTTATAAATTTTTGCCTTGTGATTAATTCTGTTTCTGTAAAAACCATGGACAGCAACAACTGGAATGGAGACAGTGTGGATTTGATTTAAATCAAATTGGATTTTTTGATTATTTAAATTTTAAAAATGATTTTTATTTAAATTATGATTTAAATCATGGTTCAAATCAGTTTGATTTTTAAAAATCATAGATTTTTATCCACCCTGATTGGAGGGCATGTGCACCACATATGAAGGTATGTACCAATATTCTCGTATGTTCTCCAAATGGTCAAACTGACTTTTTATTGCTATATGTTAAACATTGTGGTAGAAAATATCATATGTACAGGAGTGTAAGAGAATGTTAAATGTAGATCTGAGCGGAGTGTTGTTCCATAGAGCCTGCCATTTTTCATCAGATATGGTCACCTCCCAGGCCACTTTCCTAAACTATTTTGACATGTAATTTATAGCCATAGTGGGGATTTGATTGGTATTTCATATACTGTATTTTTCCATGTATTGTATAAAACTATACTTTTGTCTAAAATCTTTAGACTAAAAATTGAGGGTTGTCTTATACATGGAAGTAAGCTGAGGAGAGAACAAAAACAAGTGGAGGGGAAAGCAGGGATCAAAGTGATCTTACAGGGCTTTGATCCCTGCTTTCCCCTCCATTTGCTAAGCCCCACTTAGATTTCTTAATTTTGGGCTAGAAAAGTGGGCGAGGTGTTATAATACATGGAAAAATACAGTAATTTTGAAGCCAGGCCCCACTGGCAATTTTCTGAGGCAAGTAGCAAAGTTTCAAATGCAGTTAATTTTCTACTGACCTGTAGTTTCACTCCTTGAAGGGAAGAAAAATGAGCAATCTGAAATATTTGAAACCAGGAGGGTGAGTGATATGTAACCAAAGTATTCCATTAATGCTTGGCCTTTATGCCTAGTCAGGTTAAAAAGCATGGAGTAACGAAAATGATGGTCTGGGTAGGAACATCAAGGACATTTGTTATGCTCAGGTTTAGAAGCAAAGGGCATTCAGAAGGATGTGTATACTGGATGGAGACAGCTTTCTGGCAAACCTCCTAATTTATGAGGAAGTAAAGAGCATATAAGAAGAAACAAAAATGCAAGGTTAGCTTTATGAATTTAATCAGATAGCCAAGACATTAAGGGGACTGGTTAAGTTATTATACATTCTGTTCTATATAATAGGTCTATGATTTGTGGTTCTTAGTTTGAAAGCCTGATACAGTGGTGCCTCACTTAGTGATGTTAATCCGTTCCAGAAAAAACATCGCTAAGTGATTTAATCACTAAGCGATTTAAAAAAGTCCATAGGAACATATTAAAATGCATTTAACACGTTCCTATGGGCTAAAAACTTGCTTTAAAGCAAAATTCCTCCATAGCGGTGGCCATTTTGGGTGCCTCTACAGCAAGTCAAAACTGCGGCAGCCATTTTTTGTGTGGTGGCCATTTTGGGTGCCTCTACAGCGAGTCAAAACAGCGGCGACCATTTTTTGTGTGGCGGCCATTTTGGAACCGCCGATCAGTTATTTAAAAAAGTTCGCTTTGCCATATCGCAAAGCAAATTTTAGCCATAGAGGACATCGCTAAGCGATCGCTCCAGCGATGGCCAAAAGTCCATCGCAAAGTGATTTCATCACTCAATGGAGCGATCGCTAAGCGAGGCACCACTGTATTCTGCAGCTTTTGTTAGTCTTAGATTAAATGATACATTTACGAAGAGTGGCAGGAGCACGTTTGTAGTGTCTGAGTTGTGAAAAAATATTAATGATAGCAAGTGGAAGACCAGCTGTTGCAGAGAGGTATTTGATTGCAAAGGAATATTCATTTTAATCAAGGACATATAGAATGTGTGCTGATCTAGTGATTCAATTACAGAAATTGTGCACAAGTCTTGATTAGCATTATGCTAATTTGAAAAGATTATGCCAGATTGAGATTACAATTGACCCAATGGCTCTTACCAGTGGCATTTATGGAAATGTCTTCAGGCATGTGGTACACCTGCCATGTTTGCAGTCCAGAGTCATTCCTGCAGAGACTGTATAACCCTGGTGAGCAACTAAGATTTCTAGAGGCCTGCTTTGAGAAGAGAGTGTGCTATGGCAAGCAAGGCTGTTTGGGATGAAACTATGTTTCTGTGCATATCACATTTATTTTGCCTTTCCTACCTCTGGTTGGAAAATGAGTTGAGAAAAAGAGGCCATCCCTCAAGATTTCCATTTGAGGACCTCTGCTATATAACTGGACTGCAGTAGTCCTTTTTTTCTTTTTCTTTCTTTCTTTCTTTCTTTCTTTCTTTCTTTCTTTCTTTCTTTCTTTCTTTCTTTCTTTCTTTCTTTCTTTCTTTCTTTCTTTCTTTCTTTTCTTTTCTTTCTTTTCTTTCTTTTCTTTCTTTCTTTCTTTTTGGTATTCTGGAAGCCGTGTGCTACTATCAGCTTCTTGATGCTGTACATTTTGTACAATCCAATTCTCCCTGAGTTCATGGTAGCCCATGTTAGTTAGGTGGTACAACAGATGAAGAAACTTGTTATCTTCACTTACCCTTATCATCACCATTGCTTCATTTCTTATCAAGAAGAAAATTACTGCCCACTCTCATTCTTAAGGCAGTGCCTTGCCAGACAGAAGACTGCTACTCTCTTCTATCTCCTCCTCCTCCTCCTTTTATCATCGGTAGTTGCTTTTTCTTTTCTTTTCTTTTCTTTTCTTTTCTTTTCTTTTCTTTTCTTTTCTTTTCTTTTCTTTTCTTTCTTTCTTTCTTTCTTTCTTTCTTTTTTCTTTTTTTTGGCCGTCCAGATACAAGCTGCTGCGAAATATGAACATTTCAGGCTGTGTTGTCTAAAATGGCTGGTTAAAGGCCCACATCAAATACTGGAACAATATCAACTCAAAGCTACTTCTTTTTATGTATAGGAGTGTATACAGGAAAAACAGTATTTAAAAACAGGACCTCTAACAATTCCAGCTCCTATCTTTAAGTTTTACTTATGACCATTTAAAATGTTTTAAAAATTCTTCCATGTAGGAAGCTACGAACAGTTGACCAGTACGTGTTAGCACGTGTATGCAGAGACTGGGATTGCATGTGGTTGATGCGTGCATGTATATATATATGCACGCACGCACGCACGCGCACACACACACACACACACACACAGGTATATAAAGAACTGGTCCTCAGGAGCAAACAAAGTTTATTAGGCAGCTGCAAAGCACAGTTAGAACTGAGGGTGTGCTCTTAGTATATGAACTCTACTTTCTTTAACTGGTGATTTATTACATTTCTCTGTCTTTGCTATAACACAGGGGTCCCCAATGCCTGGTCCGCAACCTGGCACCGGTCCATGGCCTAGGCAGGACCAGGCCACGGACACAGATCTCCCCCATGAGCCGTGAGCGAGCACGTCATGCCCCCCCAACCGGTCCGTGGGTGGGAAAATGGTGGGGACCACTGCTACCCGTGAGCTGCGAGCGAGCGCGTCATGCCCCCCCCCAACCAGTCCATGGGTGGGAAAATGGTGGGGACCACTGCTATAACGTATACACCACACTAATGTAGTATAGTACTTTTACTTGAGAAGACATGGTATTCAGTGTGCCTTTCATAGGGGAAAGTCGTCTGGAGAGGTGACTGCAGTTCTCTGTGTACATGTGTGTATATTTACATGCATGCACACTTTTGTTTTGTATAATCATTAACTTGTTTTTATTTTAAGATGTTTTCTTTTATTTCAGCTATGTCCAAAGTTTTTGCATACAAACTCAACCAGTCACACATGGCCTTTCAGTGCTGTGGCCGAACTTATAGGTATGTGAACTTCATATATATTAGTTACTGAGTTTAAGCTGTGTTTGTTTGATAATGTGCATAGATAAGTCTCTTCTGATAAGATTCTAGGTAAGATGGTATGTTTTATGCCATGGGTTTCTCAGATTGCCCCACCTACAGATTTTGCTTTTTATGAATAATTCATTATGAAAGAAAACCCATGGAGAGAGAGAGAGAGAGACATTCAAGTGGTACAAATAAATCCTGGTTAATTTATTTTCAGGGGTCTCTCTTGATGAATAAAATGAGTTAAATATTAATAGTTTCATGCAAGCATATTCCATGACACTAAACATTGTTTATGTTGTTACACAGCTATGGACTACCGTATTTTTCCATGTATAAGATGATACTTTTGTCTAAAATCTTTAGACTAAAAATTGAGGGTCCTCTTATACCCGAAGTAAGCTGAGGAGAGAACAAAACGGCACATACCTTGCCTCTGCAAACAGGCTGCCTCAAATTATGAGGCTTAGCTTCCTACAGTCAGGAGACTTAGCTTCCTATGGTCACGAGCCTTATGTAACTGATGTCAGCTGATGCTGAACAAACCAATTGGAACACACCTAGGTGGAACATGTAGGTAGTGGTCAGATTCAACAGGGACTTGTTATGTCCGAGCATTATGAGCCCAGGCTGAATAAAGTTAAAGTGAGATGCATAATACGACAGTACTGGTAGGTAAATGTTACCTAATTACTGAATAAAAATGTGTTCTGTTTTATGTTTATGTTTAAAATATTGATTTCTTAATTTTGGGTTAGAAAAATGTGGGGTCTTATACATGGGGTGTCATACACAGAAAAATACAGTTTTTTTCTTGTTACACAGCTATGGAACATAGGTAAGAATGCAGGTAAATTCCTCTCTCTTAATCAGTAAGAGACAAAATAGAGATTAAATGTATAACAGTTTACTCATTCACTCCAAAAAATCTAACTACAGTGGTGCCTCGCATTACGATGGTAATTCATTCCAGCGAAATCGCTGTGGAATGAAAACATCGTAAAGCGAAATTAAAAAGCCCATAGAAATGCGTTAAAACCTGTTTAATGCGTTCCGATGGGCTTAAAACTCACTGTCCAGCGAAGATCCTCCATAGGGCAGCCATTTTCGCTGCCTGTCTTGCGAGTAATCCATCCCTAAACACAGTGGGGAGCCATTTTATTTATCCGGTGGCCATTTTGAAACCGCCGATCAGCTGTTGGAAAATTGTCGTTTTGCGAAGAATCCGTTCCCGAAGCAAGGAACCAATCATCGCAAAGCGAAATTCCCCCATAGGAAACATCGTTTTGCAATCACAAAAAGTTCATTGTAATGCGATTTTGTCGTTAAACGAAGCAATCATAAAGTGAGGCACCACTGTATTGTCCTACATTGCATATTCATATAAAGCAACTTTTTAAAAAAAATTAGTCTGAGGTCAGGTCAGGGGCATAGCAGAAAAGGTCATTATTACAACACTTCAGCTTGTTCTGTGCAACAACAGATTATTATCAAACATAATGATAATTGTGTTCTTGTCAAGTCAATTCTAAGTTATAGTGACACTTGCCAGAGTTTCCTAGGTATAAAGTACTGTATTCTGTTTTACCATTCCCTTATTCTGCTGGTGTTCTTGAACTGTGTTGGTTGCCTAAAGCTGGCTGTTCTGCCTTGAGGAACAATGAGAAATTTATACTCCTAATCCAGATACAGTGGTGCCTTGCTAGACTGTTACCTCGCAAAACGGTTAATTCGCAAGACGATGGGATTTGTGATCGCTATAGAGCTTCGCAAAACGGTTTTCCCTATGGGCGATTTTCGCTAGACGATGTTTCGGTCTGTGCTTCGCAAGATGGGGTTTTTGGGGGCCTGTTTTTCGCAAGACAACGATTTTGACAGCTGGGTCCGTGCTTCGCAAAATGGTTTTTTTAGGGATGTTTTTTTGCAAGACGACGATCCCCCCCCCATTGGAATGCATTAAATAGATTTCAGTGCGTTCCAGTAGGGAACCGCATTTCACAAGACGATGTTTTCGCAAGACAGCGATTTTCGCGGAACAAATTAACATTGTCTTGCGAGGCACCACTGTACTCCCAATTCACTGAGCTCTCCAGCCACCACCAACAGATACAGATCCATATAAAATATTTAATACTTTCCCATGTTCTTAATGGATATTCCAGACCAGGGGTCTCAAACTCAATTTACCTGGGGGCTGCTGGAGGCAGAGTCTGGGTGAGGCTGGGCCACATCAGGTTTTCCACAAGAAAAGCTTTGTTTAAAAAATTCCAATCTTCTCAAATCTTTTTATTTTTATTTTTGAACACAAATAAGATAAAAAATAATAAACAAATTAAGAATTAATAAGAAAATAAATAAATCATTGATGGCACTCCATCAGTTGTTATTCCAACAAATCTCTTCCATGGCAAACTGGCATTCTCAATGGCATCACACAGTTGGCGAAATATCTCCTGAGCGGTGGTCTGGCCATGCATTGGAATTACTGTGAGCAACTCCTCCATCACTTCAAAATTGTCATCAACACCATGGACATACATTGCGAGCTGGGCAGTGTAGGTGATGTCTGTGGTCTCATCAAGAGCGACATACACGGAAACATTTGGCTTTCTCACACAATTGGTCATAAAAGTCACTTGACAGGTCAGAAATGCGCTCTGCCACAGTGTTGGCAAAAAGGCTGATGTTGCTAAACTGACCTTTCTTTTCCGGACAGAGTATACGTGCAGCCTGTAATATGCACTTTTTGACAAATTCACCTTCTGTGAATGGCTTTCCTGCTTTAGCAGTCATCTCACTAACCATGTAGCTGGCTTTGACTGCTGCATTATTCTCTTTGGTTGCCTTGTTGAAGAAATCTTGTTGCCTCAATAGACATGTTTTAAGATTGGCGACCCAGTTGGCTGTCTCATCTCTGGTATTTTGCATACTCCTTAGCGTGTCCAGTTGTGTAATGACGTTTCAAATTGTATTCCTTGTGCACCACAACTTTCTCTGTGCAAATAAGACACATCGGAGTGCCCCTGTGGTCAACAAAGAAATACTGCATTTCCCACTTTTCCTGAAATTGTCTGTGCTCATCACCAACCTTTCTCTTCACTGCACGCTTTGAAAAAGACATGTTTGGGGCTGTGTAATATATATAATTCCACTTGGTGTCACTGTTGCATTGAAGTTTCAATCAAGCGTTTAGCCAACACAAACATCTCGACACATAGAGAACGTCATTTCCGCTTCTTTTTCTTGTAACCACAGCACAGTGGATAAAAGCCCAGTAGCAGTCGCCTTTGTTTTTACACTCAATGTTCATGTCTTTCATGATGAAATGAACAACACCATGGCATTTGTAGATGATAGAAAGTACCGGGATATCGAGTGCAAAAAAGACGACTGCTCACGGACTGTTATCCACAGTACTGTTGTTACAGGAAAAAGAAGCGGAAATGACACCGTGCTATTGTTGATGTCATTTGTTTTGACGACTTTTACATCATATATAAATATATGTAATGTTCATTGTGTGAGGCAATGCAAATAGCAGGATGCAAATAAAAAACAATGACCCACAAATAACGGTGCAACCCTATAATTGGTCCAGGTTACCGGGGAGGCTGCATTGAGCTCCTTATTTTTCTTTTATCCTGTCGCATACACATCACTTCGATTTATTTTTTCAGAGAGAGACCCCTCTAAGTGCTATTGACGTGTGTGTATAAACACACACACACACACACACACTTAGATATGTATATATACATATTATGTCCCGCTGGGCAGCAACTTAAAAAAAAACTTTTTTGGGGGAGGGAAGTATTGTGAACGCTACATGTTGGGCTGAATGTCCGCATGTGCCTAATAGAAACGAGGCAGTCAGCCAGGCATGGAAGAAAACACTCCATGGCAATGCTGCTGTAACTTTCACTCATTGAGAAATGTATCTCTGCTTGCATCAAGCCCAACCGATGTCCCGCCCTCAAGAGCCATATACCCCACCGTGACTGGCAGGTTCGTTCAGCTCCACACAACACTGTAAAGTGCCATACATATCAAACTCGCGGGCCGCACTAACATTAAACTCTCATATTAAGGTGGGGGCCACAAACTATCATCCAAAGGGCAGCAATCGGCCCGCAGGCCGCAAATTTGAGAACCCTGTTCCAGACAATATGCATCTCTGACTTCTCTAAGCTGTATTCCAGTGGTCAGTTTGGCCTTGCCGTTGTGTGCTGCTTTCTTAGATCTGAGGCACAATCATTGCACAGTTTTTAAAGGTGGTAAGAACCAATTTAAACACGATACATATAACCATGTGATTTCCCAAGAATCTCCATTTGGAGTCAGAGCAGGTCAGATGGCAACTTTTGTTAAATCAAGACTGCTTCAGTTAGAATTAAGAAGGAAAGGGATATGAATGAATGTAACATATTGGCAGCTTTCACCGTCTACTGTGTTGGTATGTATTTGTATAGGAAGATAACTAGAAGTTGAATAGTAGCATCAAATATTATACAGTGGTGCCTCGCTTGATGACGATAATCCGTTCCAGCAAAATCGCTGTACAACGAAATCGTTGTCAAGTCAAGCGAAAAAAAATCAATTAGAATGCATTAAAAACTGGTTAATGCTTTCTAATGGGCGAAATACCTCATTGTCCAGTGAAGATCCTCCATAGGGCGGCCATTTTCCGGTGCCTGTTAAGTGAGGAATCCGTCCTAAACACAGCTGGAAGCCATTTTGAAACCCGATGATCAGCTGTTTTTAGATCGTTGTAATGCGAAGAATCGGTTCCTGAAGCAGGGAACCGATCGTGAAGCTACAATTGCCCTTTGAAACAACGTTTTGCAATCGCAAAAGCCCCATCGTAAAGCAGATTCATTGTGGAGCGGGGTAATCGTCAAGCAGGCCACCACTGTACAGTGTTCTGAGAATTCTTTTCTATTTTATTAAATAAAAGGATGCAACTGTAAAAACAT